GTTTTACCCGGGACAAATTTTGTCGGCGGTGCGTTGGAAGATTTGTCCGCCTGGGACAAAATTTTTCAGGTCGCGACAAACCGTCCGCACTTGTAAAGCGTTGGTGATGACAGAAAAGTTGTCTAAATAAACAACTTTTTTGCCAGTGCGGATAGGCCCTAACTAGCAATCACTGATCGAAATGCTCTGCCGCGTGACACTAACAAATAATACTTGCTCAGCAAGATGTTGTGTCCTGAGTATCATTATTTGACCTCGCAGACAAATATCTTGCTTGAAGTGCTCCAAACAGCCATTTCAACTAAGGCATGGGTAGCACTAGAGCGCATGATTTTTTTTTTGGTCGGTCCGAAAGACCCAAAAATATCGGCACGGACCAATTTTTTTTTGGGTTCGTTTTCCGGTCGCACATGAAGCCACACAACAAGGCTAAATTCTTGTGTAAACACTGATAAAACGCTTTTGTAAACAATGATGCTTTCCCGTGAAGGCATACTATCTATCAATTTTCTTAGATAAACACGCAGTTGACATGTTTAATGAAGTTTTGTTTTCTTAGGGCGATTTTGGAAAAATCTGCCTGCCCCACCCATACACTACGGCGTCTTTGATCTTTTTGGTCCACTAACAAATTTTTCCAAATTCTGCTCGTAGGGGTCACATTAGGAAAAGCTCCAATTTTGACCCAATTTTTGGTAGAACAAACAGAATTCGCTCTAGTGCGATCCATGCCTAAGATAACTTAATTAGGATCTTTTCTCGAAATTATAATAACACAACTTGTTGCTAAATTGAACGACGCAGCTTGAATATATCAACGACCGTCACCCAAAGTTTCAACTTCAATTTAAAAATTTCATGTTCTGTGATTTCAACATTTGGATAAAACAGTCACACTGCAAAAGCGTTTGATGTTGTGAAAGTTATTTTATAAAGTTTAATTTTTTTCTGCAGTCTCATTCCCTCAGGGAATTAAAATACCCTTTTAAAATTTGCAGTACCATTGGTCACGGTTTATTAAATTTCATCGTTCAAAGACAGTCTGTCAAATCCAACTCCGATAAAAGATCTCGACGGCCCTATATGCAGGTCCAAACTAATGCGGTTGTAAATGCATACTTTTTGATGCGTTTTCGCCTGTTGTCCACAACAAAACGCCTGGATTAAAACTGTGAATGAAAACCCATTAGCGGGGAAAGGTGAAATCAGATTAAAACAAAAAGGTTTAGTGTGGGCGAAAACGTTTTCTTCATTTTGGCATATGAAAACTGATACGTTTAAAAGCCGTACGTTTTTTGTCTTAACATAATTACAATCTGCAATCACGATCCGAGTCCCGTTAGACGGGCGTCGATAGAAATAGCGAGTTAAAGTTGAATAACCAAATCAGCCTTTAATTACGAACCATTACAGTCAACTCTTT